GAAATTAATGGTAAGTTTTTCTTTGAAAAAAAAAGAAAAAAAAACCAGACATTTTCAAAATGGCAGCTGGTTGAAGTCCAAAATGGCCGAGAGGGTTTTTTTTCCTGTCAGTTCTTCTATTCGTTTGAAAAATCGCATTTCAAATGTATTAATCTCATGCAAAAACGCCTGAAGTTCCAAGTTTCAGGCAAATCAATTCACAAAAAACCGAGTTGGCAATTTTCGGTCATTTTGAACTTTAACTGGTGGTCAGTTGGGAAATGTCGGTACTTTGAAAAACCAAACGACAAATTTTTTTCCTTACTCCATAATACCCTTAGAAATCGATTTTTGCGCAAATCCATAGACAATCAACCGGTGTCAATGTTCAGCCACCTTCAACTTTCACCGGCCGCCATTTTAAAACTGATAGATTTTGACTTCGGGTTCACGCGAGAAGTTTTCTTTCTTTATGCTCTTTTGAACGAGCTATCACAAAGAAGATCTTACGATTTGAAAAAAAAGTTGGGGTCCGTTGCCGGTCCGCCCCCTCCCCAAGGGGGCCCCCTAGAAAATTTTAGGGGGGGCAAAAAAGGAGCTCCCTTTGACCTAGGAACATCCCTCAAGTTTCAAATCTTTACCTCTTGGGTAGAACGTTAGAGAGGGGGGAAGGGACTTTAGGATCACCCTGTAATTGAATTAGTTCAAACCCCTTCTGCCAGACTTGTTCGGTCCTGGCTAGGATATCTGCAGAAACCATGTTGTTGCGTTGCTTGCAGGTGAAACCCCGCATTATCAATTTCTGCCACTTTGGAATGGATTGAATACTTTGAAAGGAAGGTGCTAACATTTCTCCTCTGCCGAAAAAACTACTTACTGGAGACCAATTGGACCGCATTATGCAATTTGGAACTATAAATCCTGACCCGGTTTAAAAACAACCTATGTGCCATTATTTTCCCTATGCACATAAGTGTTTCTTCAGATGAGCCAGAATTAATAGTTCCAAATTGCAAAATGCAGTCCAATTTCCGCCTTTACGCATGGGTGAACGACCAAGATGTCAACTTCCAACAGTTCTAAGAGCCACTGTTTTGGAAATGATAGAGTGGTGTGCGACTCAATTGTCACATTCACTTTCATGGACGATGAGGACCCTGTTCTAAAATACATACTACTCCGCCGATGAACCCTGAACAAGATATTACACCATTCAGACATTTGATCAGCTCCTGCCTCAAGCTACCGGGTGTTCCAGAGAACCCTTCCACTATATTTTTCTCGGAAGCGGCCGAATATTGAGCTTCGGGACGAAAACTTGTAGGGGTTTTACCCCAAAGAATTTAATGAAAATATTTTTAACACCCCCCCCCCCCCGGGTTCNGGGGGGGGGGGGGGGGGGGTATGCTTTAAATTCTATTGCCAAAAATAAGAACTTTCCGTTCCATGCACTTTCTCCCCAAACCCCCATTTTTTTCGAGTTATGGGGAATTTTAAGGGCTATCAATTAGATACCGTAGCCGTAAAATTATCCGATTTTCAAAATCTAAATCAAGTCAAAAATTTCAAACAGCAAGGGTATGTTCTGACTTCAGATTTGAATTCTACGCGAAAAGTTGCGTAAAATTGATAGGGCGCAGGGCCTATTTGCTCCAAATTACTTTAGAACTCCATTTCCCCATAAGAAGCCGTGTGCCGCAGACCAGTCCACACAGGTCAGTCATTGCGCAGCTTTTTGAAATCCACTCCCCCGCCCGGCCCTAACTCGGCGGTATTCAACGCTACGTCACATTTGGTGCTCCCGTGCGAAATACATTGCAGGCACTTAATAATACGTCACTGCGCAGAAGAGATGCAAAATTCGTCCTCGGGAATGACTGACCTGTGTATATTGGTCTTGCGTGGGCCTATTTTAGGAGGAAAGAAGGGGCAAATGGGCCGTGCGCCATTTCAGTTTTGCGTAAGTTAACGCGTAGAATCAAAATCTTAAGCCAAAACATACCCTTCAACTCCCCCCTAAATGGGATTGGGGGGAGGGGGGAGGAGGAGACTGAAAATATCTGCATTGAATTTGTTGGGGTCGATTTATCCCGACAAGTTTCCGTCTCTAAGCACAGTTTTTGGCTGTTTTCGAGAAAAAGATATAGGACGGGTGCTCTGAAACACCCGGTATGATACAACTTTTAATTAGTGACGTACATCTTCCTTCGCCTCTAGGCAGGTGCGGATTCTCGCATTAAAATGCTGAGCATCTTGTGAAAGAAAATGTTGCAACCTCTACTTGGATTCCTGTTGTTCATTCTAAATTTGAAATGCGTTTCTCTTCAGTAAAGGAGCTATTGTAGACCACCTTCGTCGAAGAGGTGTGCCGCGTAAGTTGCAAAATCTTATGAAAATAGAACATTCCAACAGATGCGGTTATGATGAAGCAATGATTCATTTCTCGCATTATTTGTCGATTGCAAAAATCTTTGCAACGAAATAATAAACCAGAATTGAGTGCGTTTTGCCTAGAGTAGCCTAAGATGGCGGAATCAAGATGGCGACATCAGGACAGGGAGATTTATCATACTTTGAAAATAGATACGTACATGTTCGCCTAATCCCACATGTTCATTCTTTAGAGAAGAACAAAATTGAGAGAATTCCGGGCGCGAAAAAAATGAGAAATGTGAAAAAGAAAAGGCAGTTTTTCAATCAATGTAAGCCATTTACAAGGTCATTCACAACAGACCTACACAAGTCCTTCACTGGAGAGAACACCATTAGGAAAATGAAACGAAGTTGAAAGAGACTGAAAAGAACTCGCTGGAAACAAAAAAGTGGGAAAACCCATAAATATGAAGACGCACCGATTTCAAATTCCACCCAGAGTCACAAACGCGGAGCAGTCAACTCTCCGCGGAAAAACACAGCCCAAAGCCTGCAAAGACGACTTTAAAAATTGCAATGGCGGAGTAGATATGGCGTCTGAATTCAGTAACGGACGCTACCGCTCTCAAGGTCATCTGTCTCTGAGTACATGAGATCAAGATCCTTGTTGACGAAAGCGACATTGTAAAAACACATAAAATATCACTGCACCACATAATAATGGAGGAGGAAGGTCATGACTGATATAGCGAATATTCAAAACCTTCATAACTCGAGGACAAGCACGAACTCAAAATCACCGAGGTGAGCTTCAGCTCCTAAGAACCAAAAATGGTACTCAAAACAGCGATCACAATCAGATTCACACTCGGCGCAAAAACCAATTTGAAAACGAGTCAAAAAACGAGCGAAATGAAGGATAGCAGTTTCAAAATAAGAATAAAACAATGCGATAAACGGAGACTGAAAACATGGCGTCGAATAAGATTACTTACTAGTTAGTAATTAACTGCTAATTTGAAGAAGATTTTCATTCCGCGAAGATGTGCGATACATGAAAGAAAATCGTACAAGAGAATGAAATACATCGGGTTCTTCATGAACAATGTTCAGACAGGAATATATAATGTTTCTAGAGGTTCGGATGTTGAAAAGAAGGACTGAATAACGAGCATCAGTGTGGACGACGGGTTGCTCAGCACAGCGACGTGAAGCTTGTAGCAACTCAAATCGCAGACTGAGCGGTGTTCGGCGAATCAGAGAGCGGATCCCCTCCCTTCCAGTGGCGGGGAGCGCAAACAAAGAAGACATAATCCTGGGTTCCACGATCAAACTGAAGCTATCAAACTGGCGAAGGCACTGCGTAGTAGGTTTTCGGTAGCCAATCAGAGGTCCTGAATTGCATTCGCAGAACCAATCAGAACTCTGACCTTACCAGATTGACAATTCAGGTTGATCGCGTGCCCAAGCTAGGGCGCACGCCCGAAAAATTTCTTCCGCGTGCAGTAAATCGAACCTAGATCGAACCAACTGATGATAATCAACGTATTTCTATTTTCTAGTGAATCAGTTGCGCGAAAGGCAGTCCTCATACCTAGGTTCGTACCTGGCAATACTAAACCTAGGAAATTATTTGGCGAGAAAACAAAAAGTTTGAAAAAATGCAAAACACACAATAATCAGAAACGCCATCATATCAACCTGACGTTCCTAGACTAGCACGCAGATTCATTTTGTTTCACTTGTCCTTGGAATTCCCAAGATGGATGCCGCAGGGAGCTTTGACTCCTTCGGCCGTTATTATCGGGCATAACTGATAGCCTACGCATATCATTGGTAGCGCCGAAAATTGGTGCTTAAAGCGATCAACTGTTTTGAGTACTCGCAAAGGCCACCCTTTTAGGCTTTCCTAGGCTTCACGACGCTTAGATACCTTTCTGGAAGGAAGGAGGAAGTTTTGAAAAACGGACATGGCTGCCGATCACCAGGGCAGCAAGGTTAGAATCGAGAATAAACCCATCATTCGTGGATGGTAAAGGCTTCTTGGCAGTAGATCGGGCGTGATCAGAGGTAAAGAAACATGAAACGATTAGTTAATCCTCACGAAACAGACTGCAACTTCAATGAAAGTAGTGAGGCAATACGTAATCCTGTTCTTGAAGTTACAAGGCCTTAGGTGAATGCCTGTAAGTATGTTCCTTAGATCAACACACTTTAGATGAGAGAAGTATGAATCTGTAATTTATGACTACCACTTCTCGTGGGAAACGAGCGACCGCGATGTACTTTCTAAATATAAGGTTGGCTATACCTATGGATTCCTTGCATTGAAACAGTATTGAGGGTGTTTGTACAGTTCAATCAATGGAGCAAGTAAAAGGAACTGATATGGTGTGCTGCCGCTGCGATGAAGTACGTAGCCAGTTCACGAGATCCTGAACGAGGGGAAGGGAAAATACCGACTTCAGGCTGATTAATGGCTTAGTCACGCTTTTGATGAGAGTGCCTTCCGAAGCCTTTCTGCGAATTTGGAATGGAAGACTTTCTAGGAGATTCCCAGGGCGAGTAGCTGATAAAATGGACAGAAGAAAGGAGGTTGCAGGTTTCAAAAGACAAGGAGGAACATGGAAGTAATGGCCGCCTCTTACCGTTGCTTGAAAGGTCCTAGGTACTCCAACGACTCGGCTTTTCAAAAGGTGGTGCTCTCTTCTTCCAGGAACAAGGTTTGCACCTATCAAAGAGAAGGTAATGAACTAGGAACATTGGATTTTGGGCACATATCACTGTTTTTGACTAGGAACTGGAGCTGAGAAACTGATGCAGCTAACTATTTAACTTAGGTTACATAGGTGGTAAGGGCGTAACTATCGGTATGTACCATTAAAGAACCGCAAAGAGAAAGCACCTTCTTAATTGAGTTGAATGATTGAAATGGTTCGCGATTGTTAATATCCAAGAGGCCAACGGAAATGACGTGCGCACGACTGTCTCGGACCAAACGAAATAAGTGTGTTTGTTACACTGCAAAGAGAGGAGAGACAAGTTTGAACCTGTGCGACCTGTGCCTGCTGAGTGCTGAGTGCTGTGAACGTTTCCGTAATAATAACGCAAAATCCAGCCCTCTGCTCTGCGTGTTGCGTGTACCCTGCGACTATGACTATTCTATTCCAATGATTTCACCTGGATTTCACTGATCATTTCATCTTTCGGTAGCCTTTCCTTTTCCCGTAGCCGAACACCAGCGTACACTTCATTTCTACGTTAATTATTCTCTCTCTCTTGAACCTAATTATTGTTACCCCGATTTAAGAAATCTGGCTGGAAATTGGGCTTTCTTGACTCTCCTTCTCCTAGCTAGTTTTATTGCTATCAATGGTGATACATCGACTATCAGTCGATAGCCCGTCGTCTTCTTCCACTACTTAAGTACATATCTTATTACTCCCACATGTTCGCTAGCATTTATGCATGATTTTGAGCATTTGCTCTGCCTCCAAACGTGTGCAATCAGTGTCGAAGGAAAATCAATGACTTCCCCTGCTGTCTAGCTATTTTTAAGGTTAGGTATGTATTCTGAACAATTTTTAATCACATTATTCTATTCCTATCCTACAGTGGAAATGAACTTTATTTCATCATTAAACAAGTAGGCAAATTCACGGGTAGCACTCTGAACAATGCCTATGCTTTAAAAGTCTGGGTCATGGATAATGGAAAGTCTGGGTAATGGAAATTGTTGAACTTTCATTACGCAAATAGATCACATTCATCAATTGAAAGATGTAGAACTTCAAAGCGTACCCTCTTGGAATCTCTCCCACATGCAGATTAATTGAGGGGCTTGGAGGACAAGGTGCTTAAGTGCAGTTTTTTATAAAATTGAGTTGTATATGATTTCAAGTGAAACTAGTCCTAATGCATAATCAGTGAGGAATTCACGCCCAAATTCCTACTATCAAGTTTAAAAAAATCAGTTTGAACTCTCCTTCCGTCACAAGGATCCATGTAATTTCGAAACTTTAAAAACATGTCTTTCGAAGTAGCAAAAACTGCACTTATGGGCCTTGTCCTCCAAACCCCTCTATTGTAGAATCACCTTGTATTTTCTTCAAATTTTGGGAACTCGTGCAGCTAACTATTGTCGCTTTCATGTTCTCATTTTTTCTGTTCAGTCTCTAGGTGCCTGTTCCCTGATTTCATAGACAATCATCATTCCCTTTTCTCTAAATCTATTTACTTAAGTATTTTTTGTTTGCAACGCATTAACTTGATTAATACACTTTTGCTAGAACACAAGCTAGGTAAGTACAAACGGATGAGCTTCAATTTCTCTGAATTTGTTCACACCTTGACACATACCTAATGCAGAAGTATATTGTCACCACATTATCAAATTCTTATTTCTGTTGCAGAATCACGTTTAAGACCGGAAGTATTGACTGTGACTCCTTGCACTTGCAGCAGAAAGCATCTCATCTTCCGTAAGACCTAAACTTAATTTGTAGTTCTTGCGCCAAAAATGGATTTAGCAGACGATGAAATTGAAGAAGAATTAGTGTATATTAAATTTGATTCATTGTTTGACAAAGAATTATTCAACCCAAGTGTCAATTTCAAATTAATTGGGCTGGATGAGGATGAACCGATTGTGCAACTGGGAGCCCAGGTTTTCACTGGCAAATGGGAAACAGCTGCTGGCACCTGCACATTTTTTGAAGAAGATCCAGACTACAAATCTGATGACCCCATATTCAATCCACCTTCAAAAACAAATGTCAAATATGCCACCTCAACTCGTAAAGTTCTACGCATGCACAGAACTGTACTGAAGAAAAAAACTGATGAGGTAACTGACTCTCATCCAAGTAAAGAAGTTGCTGAGGCTGCAGACTCGTCAGAAATAAAAGAAAAAGATATTGAAGAGTTACATGAAATTGGGGGTTCATCTGAAGCAGATCAAGACTTATCATTTGAAGATATTGAAAAGTTAGCTTTGGACCAAACAGAAGTCGATCCTGTAATCTTAGATGAAATCTTAGGAAAATAGCACAAGCTATGATCAACACGATGCTGATTTTTGCCGTGCCAAATCACCATGCCTGGAGGAGAAAAGTAAGTAAGTCACATTAAATTTCTTGATCTATTATTTTACGAATCTAAAAGATGAGTTAAAACTTGAACTTTACTCCTAGAGCTATATGAAGAAAAATGTATCAGAAATTAATTTTAAATATTAAGCCTGACTCATCCCTCAAAGGGAAGTTCTCAAAGTTTTTAAAGAATTCATCCCTTCAAAATTTTTACCGAGCTGAACACCCTCCCCCTCAGTTTCGTACTGGTACGCATTAGAGTTCAAAAAATAATTTTGACTCAAATTTTAATTTTTGGAACTTCTTGGCTTTGTTTTCCCCGCGAAATGGTGTGGACCCAGCACCATTTCTCCACCTTGTTACCAAATTTTTACTTAACCATTCTTTTTGGAACAGGAATGGAGGAATAATTTCAAGAAGAGTAGGCCCAATGGTCACAAGTGTCTTAAATTCTTGCTTATTTTAGGTACCTCTCGGTAACTAATTTTTCCCAGCCGAAGATTATCAGGGTTGGCATAAAATAACTAGTCTAGGGGCCACCAAATCACTTTCGCGTGCCACCCAGAAACTTTCAAGGTATCCTCTGGGGTCCCGAGAACACCTTTTCCCAGCAATCAAAATGTCCAAAGGTATCTGAGGACAACATATTCTAAATAGCCGCCCTGTCCAAAATTGAAGGGTCCGAAGGTGCTCTCAAGAGTCCATGATTTACCTACTCAAAAATTTTCACAGATCTGCAAAATTGTCAAAAGACCCTAAATGTTCTGCACAAAATTTGACTCAGGACTTCATCAATTTTGGACCTCTGAGTCCCTTCATTTTGAGCCAAAATTTACTTTTGCCCCAAAATTTCTGAAATTTTTAAAAAAATTTACATGAGTATTGCTGTAACCCCAGTAACTCAAGTGCTTTTAGTGCTCTCTTATACCCTTTACTTACACGATCTGTCAAGTTCAAACCTGCAAAATCCTGCCACTCTCGCATATTTAGTGACAAATCACATTTTTTGCAGTTTCCAATTATGTGACATTTTCAAAAAAACTTATGTTCCAGTTTGTGGAGAAACTGTAATAGCTGGCTCAGCCCAGTCATTTTATTGCCTTTAAAGAGGAAATCAGTGATAGCCTCTCAAATTTCTGTAAACTCCCCCCCCCCCCCCCCTCCCCCAATTTAAGATGACGGGTCATAATGCCCCATTCAGGAAAAAACAAATTTCTGTCGCAAACAAGCCGTGTCAGTTGTCGATTATTCTATAGCTCTGGTCATGAAATTCGAATATGAAGTCAAAAGCTATTCTAAGCATCAGGATGAAGCCTAAGTCCAATATGACAGCCAAAATGACCTTTTCAGAAAAGAAAAAAATTCCGTCAGGAATATGCCCTGTAAAATGTCAATAATAATTTAGTTGTGGTCGAAAAATCCGAATCTGCCGTCAGAAATTATCCTCATTACTTCAGGGCCAGGGCTTCAGGAAAAAGAAATTCGTCGGAAATATGCCGTGTATGGTATCGGTCATCGTGTATTTCTAGTCTTAAAACCTGAATCTGCGGTCAAAAATCTATCCTCACAACATCAGGGTCAGGGCTAAATCCAATATGGCAGCCGAAATGGCCCTTTTAGAATAAAACAAATCTGCTGGAAATATGCCACGTAAGGTATCAATTATTAACACATATTAGCCCCTACATGATTGCACAAATACTTCACGCATTGCGGCAAACACAGTGCGAGCTGCGTGAAACGCATAGCGCCTACAGACTGTGTGAATTGAATACTTCGCGCATTGCGTCAAACACAGTGCGTTCAGCAGCGGCGCGGCGCGGCGGCGGAAGTTAAAATCATTAATCCACATTGATGTTTGTTTTTAGTAATTTTTTCGTTAATTTCTTATGAATGGAAGGCCTTGTCCACGCAGAGATAGGTTTACGAAACTTAACTTTCGCGCGAAGTTCCGTGAACTTTTGCTAGTAGTGTTGACAGGGCTTTCCCGAAAAATGTGTTCAACACAAGTAAACGCGTCTCATGCACCCCTGCCCCGCTGGCACGTTCATTTGATGGTTTTTATTGATGTTTTAAAACGAATGAGAAGGGGGAGGCAAAATACAGGCGGCCCACGAGCGGCAAGAAGGTAAATCCGGCCCTGAACTCCAATATGAAAAAACCGGCGCTCCGCTCCTGGGGGTTTTTTTCGAGGGGAGGGGGGGGGGGTCTGATTTGCCCCCAAGTCGAAAGAATTTCAAACGCGCCAGAATGGCAGGAAAATGATGGAAGTGATGTACGACGGCAGTCAAATCACTATTTCCTTTCATTTTCCCCTGATCTTCGTTAAAAAAAAAAGAGTACCTATTTCAATATGGAATTTGTTGCTCGTTTACGGAAATCGTAGAAAGCGACCGTTGCTCGCTTCTAATGGGTGCCGGATAACATCATTCGATCTGGCGCGAAACCGTTTTAACGAAACTGATCCTTTAGTAGGTATCAAGTGAAAATGATCATTCTAACATATTTTTAGTTTTAACCTAGAACGCTGCGCTAAGGTCCCATTAGAGAAATTACATAGCAATGGAGAATTTGCAGGTGTCTGAAATTTGATGAATTCCGTGTTTAAGTGGACGCTACCAAGTGAGCTGAACACGAGGATATCCTTGGTTCATAAATTGAACAATTATCGGAAGAGATATGAGAGAATAACCTGATCTGCTAATATACATGTATTTAAATGGGAGATGCCGCCAGATGACGTCACTAGGCGGTGCATTTTCTCACTTTTAAATCTATTTTTATACTATTTCCTATTGCATTTTTTTTTTTTAAAAAAAAAAATACTGGAAAATCAGCTCTTTAGGTACTTTCAGATGAAGCAATAAAAAATTTGCGTGCCAATTCTCCATTGAGCGACTATTCAAAGGAAGGACCGGCCGTCGCCAGTCGGGTCGTGTAGGCCTATGCACGCAAACTGCAAATTCATATCCTAATATCAGTTCGGTCTAACATTTTTATGACAATTTCAAGCCAACATTTGTGTAAACAATGCTCTTTTAAATTGCATGGTGCTACTAAGTTATTTAATTTTAATTTTTTCAACAAATGGACGCATTTCTATCAAACAGAGCTATGTGCATTATGACGTGAGCACTGTTATGCGTGTATTCTTATGGGTCTCAGGGCTCATGTCTTATTGCCCGTATTTCCGTTTGACAGAAATACGTCCAATTGATTGTGATTTTCCATAGACGGCCACATTCTTATTCATCTCATTTAAGTATGCCCGAATCTACCTCGAAGAGAGCCAGACTCAGGAGTTCCGATTTCAGTCTCAAAGCTTTGTTTTCTTTCGCAAGTTTGCACTATTTGGAGAGACCGTATAAGAATCTCGGCCGTATTTGCTGAACTTGCGGTATTCCAGTTGTCTCCGTGCCTTGTCCTACGATTTGTCGGACTTGACCACGGCTTCTCTCATTTCCGTGGATATTGAAAGAGTGAAAATTTATATCGTAACGACTTGACATCCACGCAATGTAATGTCGAAATTGTGAAAATCTGCCGGGCCTCAGTGGCGTGGCGTGAATCGCGATGTATCGATTGTTCTGCCGTTTAACCCTATGGTGAAGAATCGATTATTAGAGTGTTCGCTGCGAACACCCTGTCTATCGATCCTTTTCCATAGGTTTAAATGGCATAACAATCGATATACCGCAAAGCACGCCACGCTACTACCGGGCCTCAAGTCTGTTTTCAATAGATCGTCTTATTTGTACACATCTATGCTTGAATGAAAACATTTAACACTTGCGGTGAAAATTTTTCGACGTGTAGCAACACTTTCACTTCTTGGATTAGAAGCTGTCACGATGACGCAATAACAAAAAGGTATGCTCTGAACATGTCGATGGGAAATGTCGATGTAGGAAAAAAACCGCGTGCCGAATTCTCTATTTCCGACTGTGAGAATAATTGCCTCTCAAATCTAATTTTCAGGTCGGATCTCTACAAAAATGAGTTATAAATGATAAGAAAGAACAAAAAACGGAGAAAAATTAAACTTGTTTTTAAAAAATTGATCTATTCGTTAATCGTGTTCTGCGTGAAATTTTGATTCAGAAACATTTTTCAGAATGCTCCATTGCGAATTCGACAGCATTCATGGGGCAATAAGGATTTTTGTTCAAGTTTTTGGGCGAAAATAGCGCTGATTATTAAAATTTGCCAAAACCCAATTTTCAGGTGTTTAAGGAAACGTGTCTAAACTTACGCGGATTAATCTAACTATCCGAAAATGCCACAAAGGGCCTTTTAAGTATTACGTAAGGCACAAGGGGGGGGGGAGCTTGTCTTACGGAGCCTTACGGAGGGGGGAGGGGAGGTCAAGCCGAGTCTTTCGTTACTTTCCGCTGTTAAAAAAGGCTATTTGTTTACAAAATAAAAATAAATAAAATTATCGGCATGTTGTGAGCTGTGAAACCCTGCCACTTCAAAACAAGACTTGTTGATGCCGCAAAATTTTGCCATCGGCCCGCCGCGTCGTAAAACCCTGACAATTTTTCAATCATTTGCTTCTTTTTTTGCCAATTTGCATCAAAATACCTTTACAAAAGCCTTAAATTTATTCCAGATATTTTACCAGGCTTTCTCCGTTTTTTCTCTGAAAAATGGGCGCAAATACAGGAATAATAGTTACCAAAGCCCAAAATACCATCAACTTTTCGCAGTATGAATCTACATACATTGAGAACCCTCAAGTAAAAAATTAAGCAATTTTTCCGTCGCCTCTCCAGAGTATTGATTTTTTTAAAAATTCGCTTTTGTAATGATAATTTATTTACAGTTTCTATGTATAGTGTACGTTTAATTATATTCAACTCGGACACAATTCAATTTAAATCGGAGTAAATTTTCTCCGTGCTAAATGAATTATGAAGGAGAGGAGGGTTGAAGGACGGGTTTCTACAAATTCGTT